GAGCTGTGCTTTGTGCAGCTCATGGTAAGGACTGCATTCACTTAGTGCCTTTCTCTCCACCACGGTAGAGTTTCTTGTCACTGTGCTGTTTGACATGAGCTATCGCTTTGCTCTGCATAAAGACGAAGGAAGGAATAGGAAAAACTGGGAGGAAACAAACAACAAAAAACTCTTTGGCTCTGACTCCAGGTTGTCTGCCTTTTCCTAGTGAGATTGGTATTGGTGAACCAGGGTTACTACCTCTTCATCTGTTTCCTCTCTTTGTGGTGATATTTGCAGCCCCTTTTCAAACTCTGCTAGAAATTTAACATGGAGATAACACTAAATAACGTATTTTCTCTGTGAAGGAAATTAAGCCAAAGGACTATCATTCTTTCTTGGAGAAACAATGTGACATTTTTCTTTTTTTCAGCCTGGTTTTGCTTTAATCATCTTCTAAAATGCTTAACATTCTTTTTTCTATTGAAGAAGAAACTGAATTAAAAAGGATAAGACAGTTTTTACGGAAAGATTTTACTGGTTTAATGACATGTCAGTTGGTTTCAGCTGAGTAGTCTTTAATCTTTAGATGCATTTGTACAGTGATAAACCCTCTTAAAATGATAGGAAGCTCATTACTTGGAACTGAATTTTGTTTTGGGTTGTCACAACTAAATCTCTAGAGCAGATGCCTTTTCAGGCTGGCTGTAACTTACTACAGAAAAAGGAGAAGCCATTGTGTGGTGATGCTGTGTCTTGGTATTACATCTTCACTATTCAAAAGAAATCATAATGACAGTTTATAGGTTTATGAGACTCTTTCCAGATGAAGGGTGTATATGCTTGACTCTGCTTTGTGAGATTTTTTTTTTTTAGTCATAGTTTCTAAATTTTTAACAAAAATGGGAAAGCAAGTTTTTGTTATTTCATAAAATTACATGTAAGCCCCTCCTGTAGTGTTAGGTACATCTTTAATAAAGCAGATATTGCAAGTCCAGTGATAAAACTGAGGAAGCTTTTTCACAGTGAAGGTAGTGTGCAGTGTTGCTTCCCCAGTCACCCTCCACTATCAGGTGTGGGTTTTGTTAGCATAGTGCAAATAGCATCAGTGTTGTCCTTTGCAAATTATGAAGTAGCTGTCATTAGTTTTCCTGACAAATTTAATTTTATGAAGTTCAGTCCTAACAGAATTTCCTTCTCTGTTTCATTTTTGGGGGTGGCCTTCAAATGTATGCATGAAACTTTCTCTGCAGTAGAAAAAGAATAAGGGAGAGCCCTTGGAGAGCTGAGCTTCCTGCAGTTTATAAACTCTTTTTTGGGAGGCTTCTGAGATTAGTGCAGTGGGGGCAAGAGCTGTAACCCTTGCTTATGTCATTTTTCATTTGGGTTTTCCCAACTGTGTGTCTTTCCTAGTGAGGCAAATCTTTCAGTGAAGGAAGTTGGAGGCAATAATTCACGATGTTCTGCTGCTTTCCGCTAAGATCTGCTCCTCAAAGTGCACTATCCCAACTGTAGGAATTTCTCAGAATGTCTTGTCTTCTCTGAATGGTTTCCCAAACTGATGGAAATTGTTGGTGCTCCACTGGAAACAACTAGAGTAATACCAGTTTGTTTCCTGCCTCTTTAATCTCTTTGTGGAATATACACTGCTAGTGGTGCTTATGTTACACCACTGAGCTACTTTATTAATGGCAAGCCAAAGATAAAGGCTAATAATCTACTTTCTTTAGTGATCTGTATGGAACAAGCAGCTGAGGATAAAGGTGGTAGATGACATGATGAGAATGTTTTTCTTACATAAGACCTATTCATTCAGTTGCTTGTGTAGCTTAAAGGCAGAAATAGGGAAATATCATTCTCCTCAAGGACAGGTGTTGAGCAAGCAGAAGAGGTGGTGGGGAAAATATTGTGCTTCCCTGGAGGCACACATGTCAAATGGAAAACATAAGTCAAAGGGAATGGAATATAAAGCTTCATTTCATACCTGTCTTGACAAATGGCTGACTGTAAGTGTAAGACAAATTTAGTAGATGGGTCAGTGAACTGGTGACAGGGCTGAAAATTTCTGTTAGAAATAATTCAGGATGATTCTCTGCTATAACGAATCCATGCTATTTCTCTAGTATGTTTTGGGGGTAATGGCCTGCAGGTGAGACAGGTATGGAAGCACTGTCCAGCTTTGGGGCAAAATTCAGATCTCTGAAACCCCTACTTACTCAAGGCCAAGGGCAGATTGGTTTGCTATAGGAGGAGGCTTAATAAAGATGAGTGAAAAGATCAGTGGACTAGAATTTGGGAATGCAATGCTGAAAAATCAGAAATGTCCACTGGGGAGAGATGCTTATTTTTGGCTGCAGGTTTGCACTCAGAAACAAAGTGTTTCTTTTGTAGACAAGGAATACCTGAGGGTAGAGAAATAATTTTCAAGCTGTTGAGTGCTTCTGAAATTAAATCTCTAAACCAATGCTCTAGTGCTCCCAGGTTATCTGTGACTTGCCGGGTTTCAAGTGTTTGGATCCCTTGTCAGATTTTAAGGGATGGTTCTTACCCATACAGTATGTATCCGTAGGATGTTATTTATGTAATGGTAGCATGCTGTGGAAGAATACCCTGAAATCACCTGTGGAAGAAATCCTGAAACCACAAATTTTCAGTCTAAAATATTTGTATTAGTGTCTGAAATTCTGAGAAGAACTTAAAATGTGTTTCCTCCAGCTTTCACTGTTGAAGTGATACAGTTAATGAAACAATACATTTCTCTGCAGTCTATTGAGAGGAATAGGCCATATTTCTATGCTATACACTTCAGTCAGGGTGGATAGTTTTGTTGATAAGCACTAATAAAATTTTTTTTCATGTTATAGGAATTTTGAAAATGACAGTTGGTACACTGCTGTTCATTTTTAATAAAGGGTATATGGCAAAACCATCAGGGAAATTGGGATGTGTGGGCTAGTTCAGGGGTTAAGATGTTTCCCAATAACAAAATCCTCCCTGCACCTGTTTGTTAGTATGATTTTGTTTAATGTAAGAGCTGAGGGGGTTGGCCCAAAGCATAGCTAAGAGAGATTGAAAGAAGTGATTGAGAAATACACAAAGGAGCTTGCAGTTTTTGTGGGGTTTTTTTTTAGTTATCAGAGATATTCTCACTAGAGGAAATGACCAAACCAGAGTTCTTTCTTATAATGTCTGAAGTCTAAAGAACATTTGATTCCACAGGATCATTTTAATCATCATTGTTGCACCAGGATGATTATTGCATCCAGGTGTGACAGTCTAGCACTGGTTGAATTTTATAAAAAATGGTCAGTGATTTGGGTGTTGCAATTCTGGTAATGGGCTTCCACCCTGTAGCCTTTTGTCCTTTGTTTTGCCCTTGCTAAGAGAGGAAGTCAGGAACTGACTTGACTTTTCACTCTCAAAAGACCACACGAAAATCTTAAACTTAAGTGGTTTGTATGTAGCAAAATGAGAATATCTCCCCCTACATCTCACTTGGCAGTGAATGAGGAGGAAAAGGAGGAGAAATGAAGATGAAGGTCGCCAGTCACTTGGGACTGCCGTGCCTCTCCTACGCTTTCTGCCAAAGCCTGCAGGATGTAGGCAGAAGGCAGCTTAGTTTTGATATCCTTCAGATAACAGGATCTTAGTCACACATCTTAGTAGGTTAACAAGGTTTTTGTGTGTTGGGTTGTAATACGCTTTGACTTTCCCCTCCTTTGGAGATAGCTTCTTGATAAAAATGTGTGCTGGGGAAGGAGGAGATGTGAGGTGCAAGTTACTGTCCTGCCCATTAGCTTTAAGAGATGAAACCGCTGCAGCAGGTAGACATGTGCCTTTCCTTTTATTTTATAACTAGGAGGCAGCTAATGTAGTTAAAAACTGTAGGAAGAGAAATATAAGACTCAAGTTTGAAGGGGAGGGAAAGATGTAGAGAGCAATGAGGGCCTTTCTAAAGAATAAAAACCTTGATATTTTTAATTTTTTTTTTATTTTAACTGGGAAGCAACTGTCATTTTGGCCACAGTGCTGCTAAAGGTATCTCAGGCCTAATAGCATCCATAAAGATATTTAGCATTAGTATGTCTTGTCTTATATATTCCTTATAAATAGTACTACCCGAACAAATTTTATGGGAATCCTAGTTGGGAATGCAGCAACAAATGGGTGCAGCTTTCCAAGGTGAAAAGTTTATACTACTGCTACATCGATGCTTGTGCTTGTTACTAGTCCTGCCCTGGCTGGCTGTCAGAGTTGATGACAGCCATGGGAACTGTTTAGTCTTTGGCTGATGGCTGTAAATGGGATGGGGTAGTGGGAAGAGAAAAAGAAACAACCCATAATTCATGTTTTAGTTACTGGGTTTTGTGTATGTGTTTGGTTTGTTTGTTTTTATCCCCCAAAAGAACTGAGGGAAGGACCTTACTTCAAATATATCTCACTTCGTTTAACAAGTTGTTTTTGACTAAGTCCTCTTCTCTTTGCTAAAATGCAACAGTTTTTATTCTGACAGCATCAACATGTTCTATAGAATATAGAGCCCCAGTGAAAATAGACCTTTAACAGCAATTTATATCCCAAGTCTGAAATGTGCACTTTATGTCTGTTATGATCCCTAGGTACCTGTTAAGGGATTACTTACATCTTGCCATCCTAAGTTTCTTTCCATAAACAAATGAAACCTTTGAGTCAGAGGTTCAAGGAATATGCTCAGATGAAGCAGTGTTTAACAGCTCTTCAGGGAGAAAGGGATAAGGTGGGAAAGTGAAGAATTGATAACCTATTAGCTGTTTAAATTTCCCACCTTGAATTATTGACAACATGTGACATTACACACTTACAAATTACTGTCTATAAGCAGCTTGGAAAATATGACCTTTGCATTACAATTGGTCTCCAGATGCCTTCTAGCTTAATACAAACAGCTGCTGCTGGCATATTTTGTTGCAGCTGGAGTGGGTGGAAGAATGCAGGGAACTGTATAATCAGGCATATACTCAGATGACAAAACATACTAGGTAATGGCTGAAATGTCTCTGTTTGAGACTGGGCTCACTCCTCTGGAGTTCTGGAGTGATCTGATTTTCAGCAATAAAGATATCCAATTAGTTAAGGTTAGTTGTCCTTACCTGCTGCTGTGTCTCTTTCTAGAGCAAGTGGTGAATGTTCAGAGACACCAGAAAGCCCTATGTTACTTTCCTACTTCCTTGTCTGTGTTGACCAGAGAGTGCAAGCTGAATGGATGTTTTTTCTTATTTTTTTATGGCAAACAAGGTGCACTAAATTATTGCTTGGTAGTATTGTTCATGTGATTAACACACAAACTAAGTGTTGTGCTGAATTTGGCCCTGAGATTTCTGCTGATCTGGGAGAAGCTGAGAACACAAGGACTTGATTTTTCATCTTCTCTTCCTATCAATGTTGAGGAGTAACAAGTGACCAAATTAATTTTAGCAACCAGAGACCTCATTAGGCACTTTATAAATCTTAGGACTGAGGGAAATTATTTTGTAATTTAGGTCCATTAACAGTGGTTGCCATAAGATGAGACCTACCAAGTTTGTTGACAGAGTGATGCATTTTATTGTTATTTGTTAGTGTAAGATGCATAGGGAATGCTAGAGAGTATTTCTGGATGAACAGGTGTTTGGAAGAATAGATGTCCTCAACGCAGTAGCAAAAGACTGTGTGGAATAAAAATGATCTTTGCACAAGGCTTGTTTGTTTTCTCAGCTTCTGGGAAACATACCTTGTGTATGTTAGGGTAGTGTTGTTCATCACTGACTGAAGATCAGGCTAAAAAGAGTATGTTCCCATCTGTTTGGATTCAAAAAGACAGTAGAATTACAGGAAGGGGAATAGAAAGCTTTTACTCTTGTCCTGTTAGAGCTGAACAAGATGGAAGCTGGGACTCAATGTTAGAGCAGGTCTGGACCTTATGAAGCCCATCTCTCCATCCATTACAGGACAGGAAAGAATGTTTTCAAGAGCAAAGGCCTAAGAGTTCATCACAGTAAGTATTCCTACCCTGCCTTCCATACCAAACTCTCTTGAACTCTGCATGCTTGATGTAACCAAACCAACCTACATCACAGAGCTGTTGTTCAGAGTGATCAATTAATGTTTTCAGGGCACTTTTGGGGCCTAAAGATAAAAGGTACTTATGGTCTTAAGTTTCACTACGCCTACTGTCCCAGGATGAAAGTTTTATTTTTAAAGACCCAATTCTTCCCTGGAGTGAGGGAGGGGCAGTCTATTATTAAAGGACATCATCCTTATCTCTGTTGTAGTTGCATGTGGCCATGCAACATCACTCAATAATACTGTCAAGTATTATCTTCTGCTTGTAACAGAGTGCTAAACAGTGATTTATTGCTTGAGTACACATTGCTTTCATGAAAGTGAGTTGTTTAAACAATAGCAAAGTGCTAAATAAATTATTCATTACATGCTAATTTTTCGCTTTTGTATTCTGTAGTAAGCTCCAGAATAAACAATCTGGGTATTGTATATACCATATGAATCCCAGGTTTTTTGTGTTGTGTATCCCCCCACCTTCAGTCTTCCCCCAGGTCACAATTCCTTTCCCAAGGAAAGGTCTCTTCAGTCTTTCTCACATTAGTTGCCTTTTGTGATATTTCTCCTCTTCATTCTTTCTTCAGATAGAGTTGGGTGAATTATGTTCCAGTAGAGGCTTGGATTACTGGTTTATGGAAAACTGTGAGTTTGGAGTTCATGGGTATCTCTAAATCCTTTGGGAACTTCTGGGTCTTAACTAGAAAAGCACCACCATAGAGCTTGCAGAGTAGGATCTTAATGACTGACTGGAATGTTTTCATGAAGTCTCTTCTTGCCTACTCCTTTTTTTTTCTAAATGCTGCTCTCTTTTAGCAGCCAGTGGCTATACTGCAGTCCTAGTTTGTACATAAGATCAGATGTGTGAGAAACTTCTCAGAAGCAAGTTTTTACTTGCCTGTGGATATGCTGGCTTTCCAAATTTCCTTCAGAAATGACATTTCATTGCTTAAAATCTTTGTCCCTTGGCAAAGCCTGAAGCCTCTGGAATGTCTGAGTGTTTCAATAGCAAGCCCAGGAGCATGCCAGGCACAGAACAACTGAGTGCTTTTCTCCACTTGACCCTTCCACCCTTTCTGGGTGTCCACCCTAAATCACTGGCAGTAACCGTATGTTTAAGAAAGAGCTGCTGATTGACAGCAAATATAATAGGGCATAAGAGAAGAAATTTCTTTCCAAATAGTCTTAGGGCTTTAGCCTCCTCTGGTCTTAATTCTGAAATAATCCCCTAAAGGCCTATATGAGTATTCAGTGACATGAATAAAGAGAAGACTATATTTCCCTCTTGAAGCATGTATAGGGCTCTCATGCTAATGGCTTTTAAGCATGAATGCAATTACAGTGTGTAATCGATTCTCTCTATACCAGCTTTTGTCTTCTGAAATGAAACCTTGTCTCTTTCATCATTATTTGCCTTTGTATTAAAACATTTCAAGATGACAAGCAGTCTTTTCCCTTGTTTTTGTCCTTCTTCCCCTCTTTCCTACCTAATTCTGCCACTGGAAGAAAATCTACTATTACATTTATTTCAGAACCTGAGTATCTTTTTTTTTTTTTTTCTGCAGTAATTTACTCCCTGGATTTTACTTTTACTCCTTTTAATATTTTGGGTTTGTGTTTGCTTTTTGGTTTAGCTCATTAATCATGTTTGGAGCTACTCAGAAATATTTCCATGAAACAGATTCTTACTGAATGAAAGGGGAATTGGTGAAAGGGGATTTCAGTGCTGAAAAAAGTATTCAAAGCAGGGAATTAATTCCACTTTATAAGTTAATCAGCATGTCAGTGGCCGAAGTGTTTTTCTGGAATGTGGTAGACCTATGTTTGGGTCCCTTTTGGAGCCAGGAGAAACAGCAACTCAGTGTCTTGACCTTAGCTATTACAGAAACACAGTTTCCTCCTCTCTGATTTGGTGGTGGTAGTATCTTAAATTCTTTTTAGACTGTAACAAATTTCTATTCCATCCTGATGACAAGCATGAAGATTAGGATTATCTTTAAAAGATTTGAAGGAGAGAGATGCTGCATTTTGCCTCTCTTTTATTATAATTCGTGTTGTTGTCTCCTAAAAGTTGCCACCGTGCCAGGGACCCCTGTAATCTGAGTATAATAGACACTGCCATACATCTTGCTCTAGTGATTGAATTATAAAAGATTAAGAAAGAAAATACTAGTATCCGCATTTGGCAAACATTGAAATTTCTGCCTACAGGTGGTTTGTATAGATGCCAAAAATAGAAATAACTATAAACAGATTTATATGAGTGCAAAAGCTACCTATGGTATCTATAAGAACAAAAGGATGGGCCTTATTCTCTCTCCAAAAGTGGCTAAAATTGCATACCTGGGAAAACCTGCACAAACATTGCTAGATATATTTTTATTTAATTGACCTCAATGCACATTTTTTTTCCCTGAACTTCTGTCTCCCTTCGAGCTGATAGTGAGTTTTCAGTATCCACAAAATGCAGTGGGAAGGAACTTCCCTATTAATTTATATGTAATATTTTGAACCTCCCAGTTTTGCTTGCTGTCCTAGGCCCTGTGTGCTGAAAACTAGTGAATAATCAATTCAGGACACTCATGACTTTACAGATGTCTTTCATATCTCCTTTGTCTCTTTCTTGGATTGAGAGTTGAAGTAATTTCTCACTAAAAAAAAGGTCATTCCACATCTTTGATCATCCTTGGTTGCTCTCTCTGATCCTTTTATTATTAGGCACAATAGTTGCAATAGTTTTGAATTAGGAAGAGTGTAATCTGCTGACTGCTGAAAGTTATTAAGGGGAAGTGTCACCCTCTACATGCACAATTTTAATGCTTTTTCTCTAAAGTTCGACTATCACTTCTGTCACAGAGAGGATTAGTGGGCAGTATTGAACCTTTTTTCTGTTCATTGAAGGATGCAGAAAAATGAAGGGACTTTCACTTTATAGATTATTCATAACAAAGACTGGTGAAATTGTGAATTGGTAATTTAACTGTTTAACCATATGGTTTCTGTTCTCTGTCATTGCCCGTCTGTTGATCTGCAGTCCAGGTGGAAAGCAAATCACAGAAGTCTTCATGACTCCATAGTTCTTCTTACTTGCTTAGTAAAGTAGAGGTCCTTATACCTGCTGAGTGGTATAAAATTGCTAAAAATAATACAAAGAAAAAGATTTGTATAAGTAATTTGCTCAAATAATGAATTCTCTCAAGTTTGGGGTTTTTTTTATTCATGAGCAGCCTGTAAAATTTTCAGTCATGAATTATTCAGGCCTATTTGTGAATTTATTTGAAAACATTTCCTCTCATAGCTGTCTCACCAAACAGTTCATTGAGAATATTCCTCTGTTCTGGTTCTGTTCCTCCTTTTTTACAGTCCTGAAGTCCTGTGGTGGGTTGACCTTGGCTGGACATCAGGTGCCCACCCAGCTGCTCTATCACTCCTCTTCCCAGCCGGGCAGGGGAGAGAATAAGATGGAAAACAGCTCATGGGTTGGGATAAGGCAGTTTACTTAAAGCAAAAAGTAAAGCGGAAGCTTGCGCACGCAAAAGCAAAAGGTAGCAGGGTTTATTCTCTGCTTCCCATGAGCAGTGATGGTCGGCCACTCCCGAGAAGCAGGGCTTGGGTACGTGTGATGGTTCCTCAGCAGGCAGCTGTTGGAGACAATGAATGCCTCCTTCTGCTGCTTGCCTTAGCTTTTATGTCTGAGCAGATGTCATGTGGTATGGCATATCCCTTTGGTCAGTGTGGGTCAGCTGGCTTACTTGTGTTCCCTCCCAGGATCTTGCTCTCAACTGAGGAAGGAATGTCACAGTGTTGGTGCTGTGCTCAGCGGTACCCAAAACACCGGTGTGTTATCAACACCCTTCTAGCTACCACTACAAAGTACAGCACTGTGAAGGCTACTGTGGGGAAATGAACTCCAGCTCAGCCAGACCCAAAACAGTGTGGTATTGGGAAGGTAAAGATAAAGGGAACACATAGGTGCCCAATTATTTCCAGTCTTTGAATGTGCATATTCTCAAACACAACAGCCTGAAAAATACGTTTT